AAGGCAGCATGCAAATATTGCTTTTAAGCATGGCTTTTTTTGAAAGGGTCAAGTGCACTCTTACTTTGTGATACATCCCGAACTTATTTCAATATGAAAATCATGTCAACGTTAGGAATAAAATTAAAGTTTTGTAAACCCCCCACAATGCAAGAGCTGATATAGACCATCGAGTTCTATGATAACTGGAGCGTCTATCTCAAGCGCTGCTTTAGATATCGGTTGATGCAAAAAAATGGAGGAATTAACTTATTTCCGCCGAGATTATTTTTTATGATGAAAATCAAGGTATAAACCGAAAATCAAAGCAGCGAGTTTCTCGAAGGAAGCCTTAACTGTCAACTTTACCCATGTGAAAGCAATTTCAGTTGAGGATGGTTAGCTTCTTGAAATGAAATTCTTCATTCATTTCACGAAGCGAAGGTGCTCAAAATCTCCATGTTGTTGGCTTTTGTTGGATACATCATCTCTGTTGTTGAACACGCGAGTGCCCTCTTCATGAAACATTGAAACAGGGTCGTAAATCCTGGAGAGAGGAGGGGTTAATTGGGTGACTGAGCAAACCCTTGACATACATGCACACAAATTAAAAGTTAGAAGTTTTTTCAAGCAAAGCATTAAATTTTCGAAATTAAAACGGCAAAGAGGGTTATTAATGAAATTAGCGTGAACTCAAATGTAAAAAACGATTTTGTTGATGTTAACATACAATTAATCTTCGTCCTTTTGTTGGGCAAAATCAATAAGCGCGACTATTAAATTCGTCGTCTGAATCAAACTACGCTCAAAACTATTTTGGTCGACTAAAACTCAGATTTGATTCGGCGCATGTAAAATATGACGTTTGAACCGGGCCTTATGGAGCAATGTAGGACAAAATAATATTCGTTGAACATTTACATTGTCTTGATAGTCGCCTGCAATTTTCAGTAATCTAAATGTAAACCGGTCAAAATGCTTCTTGATTGGCTACAAGGTGTTAGTTTACCGGAATTAAACCGATTATAAACCTTTGGCGTGTTGTGGGTCGAGCGTGTTGTACGTCATCTAGAGTGAAACTGATAATGAAATAAGTGTAGCTTAAAACGTTCGATATGAAGCTATTGAGAAAATATCACGAAGGGAAAGTTGAAAATGACATAAAGGGAACGAAAGCTAGCCTCGTTTTGAGAGCGGGCCATTCGAGTTGATCATATTTTAAGACATCGACCGCGTCGATCTAAGTACTTTGTTTACATCAGGCTTATTGTTTATAGCCTAGCGTTGGCCTGCAAAGTATTGAATTTTTCATTCGTTCTCGAGGTTTGTACCGTTTTAAATGTACGTCGTACTTTTAAAACAATTATATGTATCATCTCCATAATAGATTACTGTAACCTGTTGACAAAAATTCTAAACCCCCCATGCAAAGTATAAACATGTATTGAAATTATTTTGATCAATTGAAACTACCCCGCACGTTGCAAGATTGTTAGAACTAGTCATATGATAGATTTGCCTTCTTTTAACAAGAAGCAAGAAAATATTTGTTTTTGTTGCGCATTTCATTTTCTAAATCGCTCTGTATATAAATATATTTCCTGTACGTCGCATCGTCTGTCAACCGGTTAAAAGGAGTCTATCGCCTTCTGTTGGATAATAATTCAAAGATATTTTATGTGTGAAGACGCTGTGACTTATATGTTGACGCAGTGTAACGGCATAAACAATTGACTGTAGGACGACTTAACTTTGCAACAAAATCAGGCGGTGTTGTATATTTTCATAGATCACTGGCAGCGGTTAGCAGCAAGTGCAAGACTGCATGAAATTATGCCTGGAGTGTTTAAAGGATATCATATCAACCCCGCAAATTGTTTATGTGACAATTTTAACATGCTCGTTATGTTGCAAATTTTGGCTTTTAATCTGCTTTAAAGAAGCTGAATTAGTAAGATATCTCCATTTTGACGTCTCTAGGTCAATCGATCTCTTGATTTCAGTGCACTGTTCACAATTGTTGCTGTTGGAGGATAAATGCCTTCAAGATGTCTTGTAAACATCCGTTGAACATATCAAATGCCGCAAGTGAAATGTTGCCTGAATTTATTCTGCATTAAGTAGTCTATGACAATAAGTACCTAGTTCGAAAAGCGCTAGGAAGATTTTGAAGCAATATAAATATCATCATATACAAAAAATTCGAACAGAAAACTAATTTTATAACGAAATACAGCCAGCATGCCACTTAAAATTAATTTTGTTTTCTTGGTATTCTGTTTAACCTTGTTGCATGTGTAAGAGTCGAAAGAAAATTTTACATGAAAACTATTATAAACTCCAGGCGACACGGTGAATGATTATTTTGTTGTAAATTGCTCGAGGCTTATTGAATACTGTCTTGCAAACCCTAGTTGGCAGTGTAACAACTGTAATAAGTAATTAGAAGTTATTATCGCAAGGCAAGGGCGGCCCTTGCCTCTTGTCAGCAAAAAATGCTAGGTACAGTGAGGACTTGGTGTAATGCATAACTAACATGTTTCGTGTTAAATCTTTAATTGGAAATTCGTTTTGATGAATCCCTACAAGACAAGTCTGGGGAACTTTATATGCTATGACAGCCAATTGCTTGATATAAATGATAGACAAAAGCTTTTTACATGCGTCTCCTTTTAACTTTCAACATTGCGTTGGCAAGAATTATTTTAATGTTTATCTCCATAAATAGAAATTTTGACCGCTTGCCATGTTTAGAGCATTCTTTTTATTTAATTAACCTCCCACCACAGTGGAATGAATATACAGTAGAGCCACTCCATTGAATTTTTTTCGTGCCACGCATATCCTATTTCGAATGTGATTACCATAGTGGTGAGATTCCAGCATAAATACCTACCGTGCATTTAATCTTATTTCCTTTCACAATATTTAAAGATAATTTCATTGCTTTTTTGATGGAAAACATTTTTGGGGATAATAATTAAATCTTATAACAGTTTAAAAAGCTATTCCAAGAGTATGATACTTTGTTTTCTCAACCAAGAAATCGATCGTGAACGAACGCATATTTACATATCTAGAAACAGCCAATATTGACAAGACAATATTATGCCGATGTAGTTTGTTGCCAGTGTTGTCTTGATAACATTTTGATAAGACCTCATTGCTGATGAATCTGTGTCGATTGTGATTAAATTATGTTTAGTCTTTGAACGTTGAGTGCAAAAAGCAAATAGTTCATAGTATTCCTTGTCCATTGCTGGACCCGCACCATGTGCTTAAATTCTTTGTTATTTTCGATGTTCTGTTAAACCCACACCGATATTATAATTAGTCAGAAACTTGATTAAAATTATTATATACTTAACATTCTTTCTCACCGGAGAACTTCGACCAGATTCCAAGAAAAACAGTGGGAATGAGTACTATATGCGATTAATCAAGTTTGTTTACTTCTGTCGCCAAATGAGATATAATTGATGATATTGATCACTTGGGTGATTTCAGTGCTTACTGTATTGAAAATTACGTTGTTTATGCCACATATAATTGGGTTCCTGACATAAAACTCTGACTTTTCAAAAGACTCTACTTTATTGTGCATTCTATAAAAAATCGACCTGAAACTGTTAAATAACAGACAGACTGAAGCAAATTGATATTGCACCAATATTTAGCTCTATCTGGTTAATAGGACGAGACATCTCGAGGATAGTGTGCTTCCACGTGGAAGCAATTCTTTTGTCTACGTCATAAAGGTCTGTATTTTAATCCTCTCAAAGCACTTCACATCTTCAGGGGAGATATATAAATGAAGAATTTTCTAGTGAACACAAAAGACTATTCAGTAATTTAAATTTGCCTACATCGTGTAAAGTGTTTAAACTTTTAAGCACTTGTCTACAGTTTAATGATTCGCAATTAATTTTAAAACGTGACCAATGCTGCACTTCTTATACGAATAATTTTCTATACGATGATTTCCGTATTTCATTTGCAACTAAGAGTTAAGAAGAATGCATAATAAAGACAGTTGAAGTGCTAGACTTTGCATTTTACACGTTGACACTAAACATGTTATGGTTTCCCTTTTTTTTCTTCATATTAGTTCACTTCATGTTCATATTAAATTTTCCCATTCTTCTCTTTACATGATTGTACAATTTAAAAGGATTGTAAGACTCTCAGAACTCAGAAACAGTTGCAATATTGATCATTGTTGATTGTAAAAGATTCCGTCCGTCCGAAACTTTGTATGAAAGCTCTTCAATATCAGAAGCATATCTGCTGTAGCCTACATCATAAACGTTGCGTACAGGTGTATGCAATATCGAAAAAAAGTTTGTCCTTGCGTACGTCACATTTGTTTGAGCTGTCCCAAAATTTATAGTAAATTAATTCACTTTTGAATTTCAATTTGCAGATATCTATAATTCATAAAGCTCTAGCGATATGAGTTAATTACCACTTGGTAGTGTACTTTTCGTTGATATAATTTGCTTGTATTTTGTAAAGTTCCTTCTAACAAATATGCAAAAAAGTTTTATAAAAGATGTTACAAAAAATAGAGTTGAAAGCCGTTTTTGTGAACTTGAATAATGCAGTATAATTACTTAAGAAATAAAAGATGTTTACTGTAATTGCCCGGGCGTATGCAAACTGAGACCATTGGGAGAACTCGAGAGCAGATCAGTGCAAACCCGAGACCTGCTCGAGAATTCTCCTAAACGTCTCCGAGGTTTGCATAAGCCAGTGCAAACACGAAAAAATCATTTATTTCTTTTATAAATTAACAATAATGCGAAAAAGACAAACATTTCAACTTTTCCTCTCAAATGTATCCACGATCGATTTGCAAATTCTCTTTGGCTGATTGATTGTTTTGATTTATTTGATTGGTTGAGCTCAGATGTGTTTTGCGCATACTAATGCAAACACGGCCCTAGACCAATCACCGCACGCGTTTTATTGTTTTTATTTTATAATTGATAATGATACAATTTTCATTTTGTACTTAGAGCTACCGGTGACCGTTACGAAAAAAGCCAATGCACTTGCAGCTTGGTTCATTGGACCGAGAGCAGAAAATCATGAGTTATTTAACAAACTTATCAGCCAAACAATCACTCAGCATCAGCAAAATCGTAGAAAGTACTGGCCAACGGACCCACAGTATGTAACCAAAGAAGAAGCCTCTCTGCCTTACAGATATGAGAAAAAAGAACTCAAGGAAAAACTCAAAACAATGAACAGCGAGTTGGAGCAGAGTACTCCTGTTTTCAGCGCACGTTTTCAGGTAGAATTTTTGTGGTACTTCATTAAATTGTCATCTGTTCTATAGTCTCCCATTACAACAATGTACAGACAGTACAGTACTATCGTTGTAATCGATGTAAGTGAAAAGCGAATTAGCTTCCAAAAGTAATCAGTCGGACACAAATGAAGGCATGAATAGATCCCCCTTAAAAGAATGAATGTTCTAGTTCCGAGCCTGGCTCTGTCTATTTGAAGTGTGGTGAAGTGCACACATACGGCTGGGTAGGTACATCGATAATGAGGGGAGGTTGAATTGTTTAAGCGAATAGCATGTTTCGTCACGGCAGCCATGTTGGTGGTCAAACACAAAAGAATATTTTCTTATTGCTATTGTGGTCACCAGCCGTCGTGGAGCGACATTGTTCGATAATTTGGAGGTTGGAATCAGAATATGGATCAACATGCACGATGCGCCCTCGCTAACCCTCAAAATTATGAAGTTTACAACGTCCTCACTACGTATTCTGTCTCCGTCAGATGTAGCTACCACGCAGTATGTGTAATAACGATGTCACAAAAAATAAAATAACACAATCCATTAAAGAAGTCTTTAAGCTATTTTTCATTGCCTTTACAAGGCAATTAAAAAAACACTATGGTACAATTTGATGTCATAAATACTTTAAGAGCGCGTCTGCAATGTAAACAGGACGATTTTTATTAAGTAATAAGCATAAATCAATGAAACGTTCATTGAACGTTGACAATGGCGTAGCAAGTTTGATCCTGCTACGTAAATCTCGAAACACTTAAAACATCATAATTTATTTCTTTAGGCATCTTTTAGTTTTACGTTGATAAAACGAAGAAAATTAACACAACGGGAATACATACGTAGACCGAACACATTGGAAAATTTTGTTAAGAGAAATTTCAAAGATGTTCTAGGCGGGAAAAAATATCAAATAAACAGACAGCTTATGAAACCTTTAATTCTTTTCCTAATGCTCAAACTTATAACAAAAATGATTTTAAATTACTTAAAGAGAATTTAGTGTTGTTTTAGACCCCTCAAATGTAAACATCTAGTACCCCCCTCTGTCACCTTTTTTGCAGAAATTCTCCATTTGTGCCTGACACTAAGTTCTTGAGCCAATGAAAGTCTTTTTTGGATCTGCTAACGTGTGCCATTAATCAAACATATTATGATACATGACTTACTTACATGTATTGCTCTATGTTAGATTGCCTTGCCGAGGACGCCTGATAGGCACTTTGTTGTCTTTAAATTATTATTGTAAAGAAATCACAACCATATAATTTCTTGTGCATAATCACTCCTATAATAAATCCCATGTATGGCAGATATGCACTTTTGCATGTAAGAGCCAATAAGATGACAGTAAACATCCTTACTTACCAGTTTCTTGGTTTACGCGAACGCATTAAAAATCCAACTTTTTAATTATTTTAAGGGTCACATGAACTGGGATGTTTCAATGCCAGCTATTCTGGGTTATATTTCGGGAATGGTATGGAATCCAAACAACGTGGATGTTACAGCTTCCCCTATTACTACACCTTATGAAATCCTCGCTGCTGAGCAGATTTGTGACATGATTGGTTTTGATGATCCAGTTATTGAGCCATGGGGACACATAACTTGTGGTAAGCATGTTTATACAATGTAAGTTGCTCTGTTGACAAAAAGATGTAGTGCAGTGTACTTGTTGTAGCATTATTGGATGATATTAAAAAAAGAAGATTTGGAAGAAATAGCCATCCGGAAATTCAATATTTGAATTAAAATAAGAAACGTAAAATTGAAAGTAAATTTACGACTTTGTTTTAAAGTCTTTGTCAAACACAATGATACATGATACTTTATATACAGGTTGCCTATACGCATATTTACATTGATATACACTTAAGCAGATGGTCAGTCACAGCGCGCAAACGGGGGCGGGGTCGAGGGCTACTTTTCCCCCCGTGATATAGATATTTCTGTCATTGACATATGTTAGCCTAACATGAGGCAAAGTAAGACGCATATTAAATTTAGTAAATATAAATCATAGCCCTCCCAGAGTGCAATCTTGTGGCGAAGACCCTGAAAGAAATAAATTGTGTTAGGTATAGTCTATGTCAATAAATCAATTGTAAAGAATATAAAATTCCTAATAACAAGCAAAATTCATTAGCAACAGACCATTTAAGGATATCTGTTAATTTTGGAAGGTCTTAAAAATAATTGACTTATTCCTTCTTTCTTAACATATATTTAATGACTTTAATTGCCTATATTGGGTTGAAAATTTTAACTTCATAGGATTTTTGCGCATAGAAGAAAGAGTTTTGCGCCAAACGGGACGTAAAAATAAGAAAACGTACTTTTTACTTTTAAACGTAATCTTTGGTTATTCGCTTAAACGTTGTCGTCAAAACTATAGACTTTTAAGGAATCTTAAATTTTTAGTGTGTTATCTTCAATATATCTTCAATCCAAGTGCCTCTTTATTATCTTCCATCCCGCGCAAGGTAACCTACTTCTGTGTCACAAAAAAAAGCAAAGAACGTATAAATTTTCGAACTATCAGCGAAATACATTGCAAATGTTCTTAAAATTAATGTCTAAAAATATTAATTTTGAGCATAATAACAGAACAATAAACACGCAGACACCAAAAGTCATTCATCCATTTTTTAGAAAATATTTAAATTTTTTCAGGTGGGTCAATTGCTAATATTGAGGCAATGTGGGCAGCTAGAAACATGAAATTTTACCCTTTGAGTTTAAAAACGGCTGTAATGAACGAGTCCGAGCTTGCTAGCGCAAGGACTTATCAAATCTTGGTTCCAAAAGAAGAGCACCCTAAACCTGATGGTGACAATGACTATGTCATGAGGGAGCTGCAATTATGCTCAAATTGGCAGATGCTGAATCTTAATACGGATGATGCCTGCAGGTAGGAAATGAAACATGCATTCTAGGATAAGAAAATAAAGGCAAGATGACGTTTTTTTATTACATTTTTAGCATGGCAGATGGAGTGGCAACGGCTACTGGTTTATCATTGGATAAAATTTCTGAACTCGCTCATCAATACGCTTATACATCCATGGGTATAGTTAATTTTCATCAGGTACATAACATAGCGGCGCCACACGTGTTTGTACCAGCAACATGTCATTATTCGTGGCCAAAAGCAGCCACAGTTCTTGGAATTGGCGAGGACAATCTGATCCATATTAAAGTCGATGAACTGGCAAGACAGGATGTAAAAGGTTTGCTGTCAAAAAATTTTTATTAAAAATTAGTCGATCTTGCTCTGCTTAAAAGCTTTCAAGTATAATATTGAAATAAAAAGATGCATGCAAAATATTTTAAATTATAAATATTGTTTATTATAAATTGTGTGTTTCTTCAGTGGTGGACAAGTGAGTGGTGGGTGGTGGTAAATAAAATGTCTCACAGGCAATCCAATTCCTTAAATGGTGCAAGGCCTGTGGTGGCATCATCAAACATGCTTCGTTGAAAACCACAAAAACATTTGAAGCTCTCATACACCTTTTTGCAATTTCATCTCGCCCTCTTCCTCAGACTGAGAAGCATGGTAACGTCACGGGACTTCTCCCCTATCGAACACAAATCAACCATTGCGTTAAGCGTCTTAAACCTGTCATTCGTTTTTCACGAAATATATGTGACTACTACTTGTTGGTTTTCAAACTCATTCTATAATTCAAAACCAGACATGTACATGCTAAGTTATTTCATCTTTATATAGATCTAAGAGATCAACTTGACAAGTGCGTATTTGGCTCCATTCCAGTGATCTCGGTCACAGCTGTTATTGGTAGCACTGAGGAGAGTGCAATAGATCCTTTAACTGAAATACTCGAAATAAGAGAAGTACAAAAGAAAGGTAAACATGTCAGTTTAAAAAACTTGCAATTGCACGGAAACTTAGTGGCAGATCTAGTGTATGTCAAAGCAAATTACTGCATCGCATTTTAGAATGTAATTACATTTCTAAACCCGATAAAGACAATTCCAATGGTAAAATTATATTCTTTAGAAATTGAAAACCAATAGTGCTTTTCTGAAATTACTTTGAATTGAAAATTGAGCAGCTATAATTTACTTTGACGAACGCGGAATCTGCTACTGCCGAAACTTCTAAATTGGCAAATCAACACTTGTCTTATCACTTGATGATGGTTTAGCAAAGATGAAACAAGTTGAAATCGTACATGATCCTTAGTCTACATTATTGTTTTATTAAACTTAAAAATAAATGAAAATGCTGATAGAGGAAACTATAGCTTTATTACGTAAAAAAGCGTCATGCAATTTAAATTTTTGATTAATTTTCCAAAATATATAAAGTGGCTGTGTATGTAAATCAAATAGCGATCAAAATTTCAATAAGATCGAAATGTTTTAAGAAATGCACAAAATTGTATGTTTACATTTAGACCATTTGTGAAAATAGAAGCTCTCAATTTTACAATGAAAAAGCTAACAAAATAGAAATTGTTCATTTTTGATCTTGTAAAAGTATACAAGCTTCAGTCTTCGTATTGACCATTAATACTTGTGCAACGTTCACTATAAAAATCTCACTTGAAATAAAATTTGTTTATGTAAACTGTGCTAACACATTACTTCAACGCCCGTGTCCCTTTTTGTATCCCTGGCATTTGTGTTGGTCATTGTGAATTAGTGTGCTCTGCCTCACCTGGCATTTGTGTTGGATTTTATTCATGCGAAAATTTGATTAAATACATGTATAAATGCTTACGCAAAGTTGTCAAATCAATCTTGGTTTTCCAGGGTTTGAACTTTGCCGTGTTAGCAGATGCTGCTTGGGAGCATACATGAGAACCATTCTTATAGATCCTGATGATCCTGCGGTTCAAAGGATTGCACAGAGAAGAAAGAAAGGCGAGGAACGAGCGTTAGTGAAACTGCAAAAGCGTCACCTTTGAGCAACTAACCCTATTGCACCTCTTAGCCAATATGCAATAGACAATTTGAATGCTATGAAGCTTGCTGATACTGTCACTAGTGATCCACACAAGACCGGATATGTTCCTTACCCAGCAGGAGGATTGAGCTATCGTAATGGTACTATGAAAGAGTTTGTGAGGCTTGCCGCACCAGAGGTTTTTCACAGCGCTGATGATCTCTCTGTTGGAGTAAATGGCCTGGAAGGATCAAAACCTGGTGCTGCAGGTGCAGGAGTACTACTTTCACATCAGGTATGTTCGCTGGATAGTAACATGTACCATATACAGTACATTTGTTCCAATAACTGTCAGGTTGTTTTATGTTAGACAAACAAGTTGACATAAAAGGCTAATCAAAACAAAATGACGTTGGAAACTTAGCCACATACGTTTAACTAATACGAAAAATGAGCAAATAATTATTCACATTTTCTTTTGATTTATACAGCGGCACAATATGAATAGACACTAAACCTAGAGAATAAATCGATGTATGATTTTTATTGGTGCACAGAATCCTTGCTGCACTAGTGTGCAAAGACGAAGGAAGATTGATGACTGAAGGAGGCTAATATTACAATTACATATACGCTTTCGACTGTATTTTTTTATTATTATATGACAAGCGTCACTTCCAGCCAAATGACGCTCTATGATTGGCTCAAAAACGTTTTTGCCGGTCCATTATTTTCCCGTAATCAACCACGGTCCAAAACGCATAATTTTACAGTCAAATGTAAACAAACTTCTTAAAGCAAACAGCAAAACGCAAGAAAAATAAAACAAAAAACCATTTACGAATGTGATTCGAAGGAAAAACACTTAGAAAACAGTTTAACTATCCAGACGATACATTTTGAAACGATTTTTTTTATGGACGAAAACTAGAAAAGTGAAAGCCAACTGGTAAAAAACAGCAAAGACGAGAAAGAAAGCAAGCTACGTTTCAGGTCAAATAATGCCATATAATAAAAATTTTAATAACCTCGCTTTCTCGGTTTTTACAATGAAATATCGGACTTCTGTCTTTTTTTACAAACCTTGCCCTACGGGCTCTGTCTGTACAAAAAGACCTCGGTCCGATAATTCTTCGTAAAGGCCTCGAGCTCGGTTATTAAGGGCTTATCAGTGGATTTTGGCCTGGATTAATAATGTTTTCTGGACTAATATTATACATTTTGACCCATCAAATGGTTTTATGTATATAATTTTTGCAAAATGTCGAACTCACGATGAACAAAAGATGTGTTGTATAATTATCTTGTAATTATCCATTGTGTGTTTAAAGGTTATTGGCTTGGATATGTATGGATATGGTCGCATACTGGGTCAGTGTGTCTACAGTTCAAAGATATATTACTGCTTGTGGCTGCATCTTTCAAAACCCACCGATCCTTTTGTTATTAAACCATACACTCGATGCAGCGAAGAAGACAAGATCGCTATTAAAAATGAAATAATTGGAAAGACCGACAAGGAAATCAGTAAGGTATCGTAGTTATTAAAGGTCTCTACGTACAAGGCTAGAAAAATTTCATAAAAGTTTGGTTGCAAGGGGAATGTTTTACGTTTACGTTGCTACCGTTTATTATTTGTGTAAGTGCATGCACAGATTCTCTTAGAGCACGTTCACTGTAAAGTAAAACGAAGAGCTCGTGATAATTCAATCCCTTGATTCCCATGTAATGTGGGTTTTATCGTGTTCCATTCTTTCGTCTTTTTCTCTTCAACTAGTTATGCTTCTGCTGTCATTAGCTACAATAAAATTAAAAAACCAACACAAATACAGGGGAGATTAGGGGAAAGTGGACGGAATTCGTAATTGCAACAAGTTTTTTCATTTTATTTACGGGAAAGAACGTGAATGAACGCCGTGTATGTTATTTCAAAATTTGCTTACACGTATGGTGTGTGTATAAAAATAAAAATATTGGTGCTAAATTGGTTATTTCGTATTTATTAACTGTCGTCATTGCCAGTATATGCTGTAATTACGAATATCTCTGATAAATAATTACGGAACATTCTGAAATTGCACGATTTATTCAATTATTTGTGGTTATGCTTATGATATCCTTCTTCAACATTTCTTGTTTTTCTTTGTTTACAACAATTGTCTTAACAAGTACTAAATGAAGGCAAAACAAGCTCGTCACCAGTCTACTTTCCTGAAGTTTCAATAACAGCGATGTGTACGAGAAATCGGATAAACTATGCTAAAATAGAAAGTTTTGTTTACATTTTATTTTATTTTATGACTTAGAAGTACGAAGAATTGTCTTAAATTTGAAGATTTAAGAATTAAATTAAGATACCAAAACGATGAAAGTGTATAGCACAGATAGAATCGTGTGTGAGCGTTGCTACCGTTACATAAAAAGCATTTTATTTTTTTCAAGAACCCAGTTGCAATGGATTTGTTAAACCGAAATGGACCGGATTGCATGATCAACAAATTTGCAGTAAATTTCAAGATAATGCAAAGCGGCTCTTCTGAACTAGTTTTGAATCCTGACGTTGACATGTCAACAGAATATTCCAAAAAGATTGGCAGGTATGATGGTGATCAAAATTTGGTTGTAATAAATGCTTTTTGTATCATTTTTAAAATCATTGTTAACTTTTTTAATAATTACATCGGATCTTTCGTTGAAGTGTCTTATTCGTAACAGAGAAGTGAAAATTGCAACAACAACTTGTGTTAATGAATTCCTAAATGAAAAGTGAACAGAATTATAACTAAGGAAAATCAAGCAACTGCCAAAAATGCCAGAAAATTTTTTTATCGATTTCTTACGAACGCATCATTTCTTTGTATTAAGTTACAGTTTATTTTCATAACAATGTTATTGCTTGTGAACTTTAAAACAATCATCAGGCCATTAGAAATTTATAATGTTTAATGACATGTTAATATGTTCAGGAATGATTGGTCTCGTCTAATGACGTGTTTAATGTGTTTGCACATATGCATGCTTACAGTGGGCCGTGGCGGATCTAGGAATTAAAAACTATTAATTAGAGTGTTTTTCTGAAAGTACTTGTATTTAAACTTGAGCAGTCATAATTTATTTTGTCTTTGAGAGAGACCTTTGGGAGAACATAAGAGCAGTGTAAGCAATAGATGAAGGTCGGCGGTCGAACCTGCTCGAGAATTCTCACAAACGTCTCAGTGACTTGCCTAAGCAAGCGGAAATACAAAAGCAATTTGTTATTTCTTTTATGAAATCACAGTAATGCGAAACAGGTAAATTTAAAACAAAAGTTTAATTTTTCCTCCAACATTTATTCATAATTGATTTACAAATTCGTTTTGAGTGATTTAATTGATTGTGTTCAGATCGATTTGCACAGGCTTGTGAAACTCCGCTGTAGACCAATCAGCTCACGTATTTTATTGCAGTTATTGTATAATTTGACATGTACACCAGATACCCTGCTGTGCGCATGTGCGACTAACTTTGAACGTGTTTTGACAGATTGCTTTCAGTAAATGCTGGTAAAGACAACCATAGAGTTCCATTGGTAATATTCCAGTCTCTCATGGAACCAGAAACATTTGGCCCTGCTTTGGTAGAGTTTGAGAAAGAAGAACTTGGTGTAAGTTTAATTAAGTTGTAAAAATTTGAATGAAACACCTTGTCGTTTCCTTTGTCGAAAATTTTTTGGCAAACATATTTTTTCGTAAATGCTTTCTTCTAATATAAAAATGCCATTAAAAAGGCATAAATTTCTGAGAAATTTGCAAACACCAATCCCATATAGCCCATAGATAAAAGACGTCAACTTCAGAGCATGCAGACAGTTCTATTTATTTTTGTGGGATTAAAAACACTGTTGCTACGTGTTTTTCCAAAAATTTATTTTAGTTTGTAACTATGAGAATACTTGGAAAGTAAAAGTTATTTTAAACAATGTTTTCCTATGAATATTCAGCAAAAATTTAAGAACTACTATATTTTTACAGTTCCGAAAATAGCAGCATCACATTAAACATATGTTGTTTTATCTTTCCAGCTTACACAGAACAATGAAAGTCAATTTGGGTGCATGGTCAATACTGTTATGAACCCATGGCAAGCAAGTGGAAACTTTGTTTGGGAAGCTGGTGAAATTTATCGTGAATGTTGTCTTCTTGCTTATGGATGGGTAAGTTATTGTTGCGTTAATTTCGAAAAACAAACCAAATTTTGTTTGGTCCATAAAACGATCCTGAGTATTAGTAAATAATTACGTAGCTATAGTCATTTAAATTCTGTACAGTACTAGGGCCACCCGGAAAAATTTCTGAAGCGTGGGGCAAATTTATTAACTCTTATTCTAATTGTTGTACTGTAACACTGCATTTTTTTCAATGTTACAAGAAAATGAATGTCTTACTTATTTAATTGTAAAAGTCATATAGACGTTGAATAATTCTTGAAATGTGAAATGTGAGCGAACTTTTATAGTTACGTCTTACGATGAAAAGCTTATCCGAAAGAAAACAAGATTGAGAGATTGGGCTAGCACGTATAATTAGTAGTGTAGCCAGCCCGACTTTACTCGCGTTATATACATATATGTGAATGTGTTCACTGACTGTAAGAAAAAAATTTTCTAAAGAAATGAATAATATGGTAATATACATAGTTGGAGTAAATTAGCGAATACTGCAAATAAAAACCTTCAAAATTATTGAATCTACATACATTTTTTTAGCAAAACGATCCTGTATCTAGGCATAAATTTTACTGTGGAGATTTGCAGCACAGCATTGAAAACGGATGGTTCTTTTATGCAAACTATGTTGGTCAATTGAATGTTGTTGGTCATCAATATGAATGCGTGACGAAATTTGGCATCAGTGACTCAGATTATGACATAATGAGACCATACATTGCCAACGGTGATTTGTTTGTAATAGACAAAGATGCAAATGAAAGAGTTCTGTATCAGCTACTTTTAGATGCTGAAGGAGGTAAGAATGTCAATAGTGAAAAGAAATTATCTGTTTACTATTAGCATTTTTATTTATAATTGATGCAACATAACAACGTGGTCGCTTTGACGTCACATAAAACCTTCCTTGATAAGCCTTCATCAACTAGGAAGCTCTGTTATGTAGTGGAAGCTATCTTTGCTACACTTTGAAATTGATTTTGGAATGAGTGAACGGGTTTGAGAATAAAGTGGCGCTTCATTTTCATACGTCTGAACTGGGCATTGTGACTATTCGACTGAACTGTCCCTATTTTTACACAATTTTTACGATGTCGTTGGACTAAGACTGCTTGTCGTGTTTTCTAAATATTTGTTGGATTGGAAAATCCTGGGCAAATTGTGCGTATCAACTTTTTTTTGATGATTGTTGGAATTGTGTTTTTTTGCTTGTAACTAATAAATTCTAGTTACGGAAAACTATTGTTATGTTTTAAGGATTTAGTGGTTTAGCAGAGATACTACATAATCAATCAAATCATCAATATTTACAATAAATTTTAAACGACCAAATATTTTTAAGGTTTGCCCTTCGAGCTGCAAACGGCTAACAAGGAGATTGTGACACTCAGAGTGTTGGACATGCCACGTGTTAATCATTTCCCAACACCCTCGGACCCAGATCTTAAATATCCAGATCATCACGAGTATTTCATGTATGGCGAAGATGGGAATATTTACATTTCTCACATTATCACCAAACATCCAGATTTTCAACAGGTATTATTTTATCCATTCTTAAATAATCTAAAATAGCTGATACATATAACTAAAATTATTTTCTTAAGTGACAATAGCGTTCAGTTCATAAAGTATATAAACTCATTTACTTCTGGCAATGCATCGTTAAAAATACATATGGCTGTGTTGCACTAATAATTCAAGTAATTCAAAGTGTACCACAAAATGAGTGACATTCAATTAGAAGTTCTCTCCGTGGCATTTGAGCTCAATTTTAAATTTACCATCAGCACAAAGAAAGCTCAGTTCCTTTTAAATGTAAATCTTGTTAACTTGTGCTCTTAGGAACATAAAGCAGAATCCTTTAGCACTCGTGTGTTGTGAAACCTTCTTCCCCATGAAACCTCTGAGAATTTTTATCGTGAGAATAATTAATATAGGTGGTGAAGGTTGTCAACACTCCAATGAGTGGTGAGAAAGATGATTGGCTGCTTTGGTATGGCTTCCCAGTTACGTTCACTGAACTTCCAGTAGACCAGGCAAACACCTCAAAAAATCCGCTGACCAAAACTGATTTTACCTATCATATCAAGTTCATCGGTGAAAAACACAGAAGCCGCGAAATGGATATCATTTTGAAAGATAACACGGGATGGTTCGATAATACAATTTTGAACGCAAGTGCTTAGATAAATAAACTTTTCTCTTTTATTTCTTATATTAAATTACCTTTAGAGTAATGAGACATTAGATGTGCTGAAATGGATTCGCGTAAACTTTTTGTACTAGGGTATTGGTAGCTTGATATATTTACTACTTTAATTTTGTATCGGAAGAGAACAATTAAATGCATTTGAGGAAACTTTACATTCCACAGAGTATGGTCTACTTAAGAAAACTGAAGTCTAGTACGTAGTAAACGTGAGTGAGATCTGAAAAATAACGCTGCAAAGTTTCAAACATCCTTTAGTTTCAAGGCAACTTTTGTTGAAATGATCGGGCAATTTTTTAAACCATTAATTCTTCACAACGAAGCGAACTCTGTTTGGTTAAAGTAACATCTCAGCAAATATACCTGCTCTTTTAAATTTCATTATGCAACGTGACGTCACAAGTTGTGTCAAGGAGACATTACATGAACTACAATATTTTGAGAATGAAAAGTGATAAGAATAAATTGTTTTTGAAAATACTCTCTCATTTTCAAAGTGTTCAAGTTTGTGAGGTATGATACAACATGGAATCGTGTTTTTATTGTCAGTTTTGCTAGAGCTACAAAATCTGGTCAAGTCCATTAAAGTCATCGCGGCCTCATTTCGTGTGTTTATTCATTGGAAAAAAATTTGACACGCAAAGACTGCTTTTAATGGTGAACAAATTTCAATGAAATAAATACAACGTTGCTTAATGTATGATTTTGCAAATCCTTTGATAGATATTTTAAAACGCCATTTACCATAAAACTTTGACACATACAATCTTCAACTAAAAATAAATCATCCAGAGTCAAGCTTTTCGAGAAAAAGCAATTAACAGCTAAACACTTGGCAAGATATACGACAAACAATCACTGTAAACGCTACACAGAGTTAAATAGTCTTTGATTTTAAAATTTAGTGAAATTTAATACCAACTTATGCCTTTACGGTAGCTGGAGGCTTAAAGTCGAACGAACACATTGTTACGATGAGCTCCGACCAATAGCGATTAAGATCACAGAAACACCGAGACACAATACACCAGCGACCTGAATATTCGATGCACCGCGGACAGTCGCCATTGCATACTCTTTGATTGCCGTCTAAATATAAATGAAAGTCATTAATATAATAACACACTAGAGGAAGATATTTAGCAAAGATCGTTCCTGAATGCATGTCATAAATACATTGTAAATTGTTCCATTTGTCAACGCCATGCATACCTACATTGATCTTAACTTTTTCCGTTTTCGTATAAGTTACAGACAGAGCCCTGTGTTCATAAGAGTTGTGACACGTATTGTTCTTCGAATTTGGCATTATGATTAAGTTGATTCGGTAGATATGGTCACATGGACATCTAGCCGCCATTTTGTTCCAAAGCGCAAATTATAACCATTTTTACTTAGAGACAAATTATATAAAAAATGATTTCAATGATTTTATGTTGCGTTATAATAGTGCCGATCAAAGCGACGAAGAATAGGAACATACTCGCAAAAACGATATTAAAGGCGTATAAATTACATCCACTGCATTAAATAAATGCTTTTCTATTATTAAGACATCAATAAACTACTGAAAGCAGAGATCGTTGTCTATTCATGAATAAGAAAACACAACAATAAAATTTTTTATTTCCACCAAGTAATGCTTTATATTTGTTGGCTTTTGGAACAAAAATGGAGGACTCTAGGCAATTTTACTTCCGGTGTCCCAACTCGTACGTAAGACTGCAGAATTTGACTGCGATCACACTGATCCGTTTTAAATTCCATTGCAGTTTTGCGGGTGTTTACACATATCTCTTGCTGTCAAAATTCGTTAGTTGTTTGTGAAAGAATGACGCCATTTCTCGTTTACACATCTCTACATGTTTATATCTCTAGCCAAAGATCATAAAAAACATTGATTTGTACAAATTACAACGGAATTATCGTTAAAAAGTGTGACAAGTGTGCACAATAAGCCGATATTTACATTTTATTGCAATGACTTCATCGATAGTTATAAATTCCGATAATAAAATTTACAAACTCGAAAAATTATCACTACCACTAAATAGACAAGCATGAGAGATGTAAAAGAGTGTATTACATCGTTTACTTTTAATAACTCGTTAACGAAATAACGACGAATGCTTTTTACAAGGATGCTGACTCAGCATTTCAAGGTCTTGTCTTTTACCACAGGCAGACCTACCAATCCTCTGGTTTTATCATACATCATCTTAATTTTAAAAAATCTCCCGATAACCAGATTTGAAACCATTTTTAACCGATTTTATAGCATAATAGTTAAGATAATCTTACAGAACAGAAGTTATTTTACTTAAGAAATAAAAGATGTTTACTGTGTTTGCACGGGCTTATGCAAACCGAGGAGACCTTTGGGAAAACTCGAGAGCAGCTCAGTGCAAGCCCAAGACTGAAGGTCGAGCGTTGCACATGCTCGAGAGTTATCACAAACGTCTCCGAGGTTTGTATAAGCTCCAAAAATGTATTCATGATCGATTTGCAAATTCGCTTTGACTGATTGATTGTTTTGATTGATTTGATTGGTTGAGCTCAGATGTTTTTTGCACAGGCTAATGCAAACACAGCTCTAGACCAATCAGCGCACACGTTTCATTGTGTTTATTTTATAATTTGTAGTAAAATCGGACGAAAATGATTGCAAATCTGGTCATCGGAAGATTTTGTCTAAAATTAAGATGAAATCTGATAAAACCGATGGGATTGGCAGGTCTGCCTGTGGTAAAAGACAAGACATTAAAATGCTGAGTCAGCGTCCTTATAAAACCCATTCGTCGTTACTTCGTTAAGGAGTGATTGAAGTGTAAACGATGTAACACTACTTTTACTACTTTCATGCCTGTCTATCTAGTGGTAGTGAGAATTTTTCGAGTTTGCAAATTTTTATTTTCTATAACTATCGATGACGTCACGACCAAAAACGTAAATTTCTGTTTATTGTGCACTTATTGCTCAGGGCCAGGTTGACTACTTTTGTTTACATTATTCTCTATACGACCGTATGAAAGAAATTATTAGTTTCTAGATGTGTGAAACGAAAGTCGATTTTTAAGCACATTTTAACCTTCTGGAACGCGGCCTAAAATCTTAACAGATGCCTGAACGAATGGTTTTGATGGTAACCTTTTATGAAATGTGATTTAGCAATTGTCAAAAGAAGAGTACAGCAATAATTGTAAAAAGTTTCGTTTCTATACAATAAATTATTTAAATGGCCCGATTTATACTAGAGACAAAGATTACCCGTCTGGACGAACTTGAGCAAGCTAAACATAGTTTGTCTTCAAGTTCGTCTGTGTGCAAACACACGCATCATCCATCTGCGGTATATAAATAGGGAATGTGGACGAACTATTGTACTTCGTGACTCGCTCCTAAATCCCAAAATGCTAAATTCGTTTATATATAGTTCAAGTAGATAATTCGTCTTCTGTTTATACTCAGACGGATCATTCGTCCAGACGGACACCCTTCTGTAGTATAAAAAAAGCGAATGACTTCCAACTAAGCCAAACAAACATCTTTTCAATTCAAAAAAAACAACATGGCAACTGATGTAAGTACAACAAGAAAACACAATTGAAATCGTTTGAAATTCAAAACAAGAATTACAAAGAATGCAAAGAATAAAAACAAAACATCAAATGCTGTTTTGGGGTTAATGTTCTAGTGCGCGCTTAAGCCTGGTTTCCGCTATTGGTTTATCACGATAAAAAATTGTTGATACTTTATCGCGATTGTTAGTCGCCGTTTATTGCGATTATTACCACGTTCTCATATGGGATTATTGCGATTAAAGTCAATCGCTGTCGCGTTTGTCGCGTTAAACCAATAGTGCAAACTAGGCTTTAAGGTTGATGTTTTCATACAGGAGCTTTCGGGCACTTTCGTGGTATAAGCATCCGATGCGTATTCAGTAGAGGTTTTGTTTCGTTTATTGACTTTTGTGATCATATTTATTTATAGGAAGCATTTATGGTTGAAAGTTTGACTGTTGCTACGATATTCATGCCGTATTTATATGCTGTACTTATGTAGTCAAATCAAACATATTATAGCCGCCATTTTCGGGGTCCCTTAAAATGGCCATCAAAGCGCGCAAAAAATGACCGCGTATGAAGGCTTTTTTGAAGCGACGAGTTACGAAACGAGACAGAGTTATTAAGAGGTACAGTAAAGAAATATCTCATAGTATATTATCATTAAGTAATGGTATAATTACTTGTTTGTAAATGTAGATCGTCCAGGTTGGTATAGTCCTGAGAAGGACTGTTTTGTTGTTGTTGACTGACGTTTCAGCAGTGTAGTCATCTTCAGCGTCAAATGAGGAGTAAACGTCAGGTTAGCCATATTTGTTATTTGGTTCTTACGTTATTGTATTGTGTGTACAGGAAATGTGTATTGTCATTGTGAATTAGTGTGAAGTGAAATGTTTTTAGTTGTGATGTGGTATAATTACTTGTGCAGTTAAGGCTAAACATGCACTCGTGACTTTTTAAACACTGCAAAAAGCGGAAGGCTTTCAAAATTTCGCTGTTGACTTCAAAAAATTCAGTTGTGCATGTTTATTCGTAATTGCACTCAAAACTATACTATTAAAAACACTAATATTTATATTAAATTATATTAAATAATAATTATAATACTAATATTATGAGCATAAAATTAATTAATAACATTAATTAAACTTTCAATACAACGTACTCATCGCCAAGAATGGCACACCACGAGAAATTATTCAACATTTTACTATTGCCGGATTTTACACTAAGTTTTGAATTGACCAGATAGTAAACTAAACGAAGCAAACTTAAGATTGAATTCTGTACTCACCCATCCTCCATGTTCAGCAATCCAGTTAACCAATTTTCTTTAACAAACCTCACAACCCAGTCAACAACCAACTTGAGCAAAGGTAACTGGCTGGCAACAGATGACATAATTTAAATCCAAAGTAGCAGCGCAACACCAGTTGTACGCCGTCGGAAAAAAATATCAGCTGCAACGTCCGCAAACGTATCAAAAACGCAGTTTGTGTGACTCTAATTTTACCAATCAATTCATTAAGGCTAAAATTTCTTTCAAGGTCATCTCCAACCTGTTTAATAAAATGTCCTTTGATCATGAAGAAAATAAAACTATGAAAAGCGATGATGAAATAGAAAACAACATAATCCTCAATGATAAAGGGCAACATGTCAAAACTACTTGTATAGTGTATAACATTTGCACACCCTGTTTATGCATGTCGGGTGCCATTGAACAGCACAACACAATAGGGTTCAACTTATTCTTTGACCAATGGTCACCGGCGTACCTCAACATTATTTGGCGCGTTTGAAGCACTCAACAATGCGGATTTAAAGCATGCGCACCATGTAGTGTATATTGTTGTAAAAGTGGAGTCGGAAGTTGTACAGTACCGCTCGCGTATGCCAAACATACGGTACGC